TGTAACTCGTAGTCCCTTGAAAAGATTTTGAAATTGATAACAAATTATTCTGTTTACAATTTTGATATAAGGACTACCACACTGATAATGACAAGCAGTACATCTTGTATAATGTAAACATGTGTATAATCTCGTGTTCCTAATCAGAAAAGAAATAGACGGATCTTTCAAGCTAAAGGTTGTTAATGACCAATGAAACCGTTTCGTCCTTTTGTAGTACAAATGTATTTCACGAGTTCACTTCATCGTCTACACTTCTGATTTGCAGTGGACCATCTTTTGACCAAAGCAGGTCAGGGTTTTAAATTAATTGAAGTAATTGTTGTACATTTTAAAACCGTTCAATCATTCACACACGAATAGTTGTGGTTTTGTATCAGATTTTGAAACAATGACATAATTAAGTCAATGTACGTGTACTATTTTTTACTGTCGTATTATTTCTGTATTTTTCTTATTGTAACAACCAATCAGCGGAATTTTAACTTTGGGAATATCTATTTTTAATGCAGTTTTTTGCACACTTAAATAGGAATTATAGAAAAATGGAAGGTTATTAGTAGATACAAAACAGAAAATGATGAACACTTTTAGCAAAAGATAAATTGGATCGGGGTTTTGTGTATTCACATTATTTGTACAACTCTCCTTACTCTTGGGAATTTTTGGAATTGCCATGACCTAAATGGTTCGCGAAAATTAATATTTTTATATATAGTATAGTAATAAATCTGCTCCAACACAGTTATACGAAAGAACGACTGAAATTGACGCTACGTTAGTTTTACGATCACCATCACGAATTGTTTGACTGATACGATGTGACTGTCTTTAAACTCACTAGTGATGTGTTTCGAGGTCTTCGATCTTTGGATACTATAATATTCGTCTTATCCATTTTACCGATGGTGTCTCAATTCTGGATGTGACATTTTAACAGAATGTGATAAACAATGGCGGGTGATGCATTCATACCAGGATACCCTGTCAATGCACACGGTCTCGCTTCTTTTGGAGATTATGCGATTCTCGCAGGTTTGTTTTACCTCGACTTCTATTTTCTAAATGAATTTATGAAATTTGATCAACAGTAAACAGTTGTGGTTTCTAGTTCATGACTTTATCTGGTACGGAAATAGATAGCAATGAGTCAGGATTTGCCACGGCAGCAAATTTAGGTATCTAAAGTTCCGTAATTTCTGAAACGCATTGTGACAAAATTGCTATATGATTACATTCAATAAGAGATCATTTCTAAGATTTCAGACGATACCATACTGTGCAATTAACTTTAATGAGGGTTTGGATGGGCTTTACAGAATAGAGAATGATGGGCCAAATGTACAGATAAATCAACAACAAAAATAAAGAATAGAGAAAAATAGCGTAAAAAAGATAAAGATTATAGAATAATTGGTGCTAAAATACAAAGAATGGAGAATGATATGCAAAATTTATAAAGAAAAGAGAAAAATCGCTTCAAAATTTAAGAATACAGAATTGAAGAACTCCAATCCAGACCCTCTTTAATGAAGGATTCTTTTGTTAACGATGTACATACTATATATAATAGAACTACAAAGAATTCAAATACATGGCTCAAACTACAAGAGATATAGTTTATATTGTGAAGATTGTTCTAGCATTATAAGCATCTTACAAGCACAAACCTTTTTTTTTTCGTTCATTTTTTAAGTCACAAATCAATCATTCTTAGATGTTTTAATAAATTGCGTTTACATGCAGTTGTGTATAACAGTTGCGCAGCCTGCAATGATAGTCTTTTTTTTTTTCGGTTATCAATTATCATATTTCCGACAATTAACAAATTCAGGCTTCATTTCAATACGATTACAAATCGGCAGTAAAATTACTTCCTTTTGACCAGTCTGGCGGGAAAATTTAGATATACACGATATCGGTAGATTGGTTTTTTCCCTAACCCAGATATATCTTTTAATATGGTGCTTTCGTTTTACAGGTTGTTTTTGTAGAAATCTTGTTGTTGGAAGCCCCTCTAACTTTGATTTTAGATTGTGTTTTGGGCTATCAAAAATATGGGTAAATTCCTACCTACTCCGAAGTTGGAGATATGGTTTTGCGACAAAAACGATTAGATTATATGCGTTTGATTTTCTTCATGTACTTCTCACTATTTTTGTGTTTGATTCAAAAGATGGGATAACATTGCCGAACTTGTATATTTTAACTTTATTATATCTGGCTCCGAATGAAAAACAAGACGATAAATAACACTTTTATTTTGGCCGAATATTTGTGTAAAAGTTCATTACACAAATATAGTATATACATACAAGAATAACAGACTACATAAACTGCGGGCCCTATAAAAATAACCCGCGTAAGTACATACTATAACTTAACTAAATAATAGATTAATGAAAACCAATCACAATATACATATAACTACGATATTTACAGAATAACGTGTGAAACGACCGCATATAATGATGCGTTTTTAAATAAAAACTGTACATTTACAAATGTTTTTTAAATTGACATCTTCAAAACAGTAAGATATTCTTCTTACAGATAACTGAAAATTTGACATCTATTATGTTTGAGTTGCTGCCTGCTTAACTTTGTACAGAGAATATCTCCATGGTATTTTCGTACGATGGCCTTCAACCTTCATCGGGAACGCTAAAACTCAAAAATTTGAAAGCAAAGTATGTTCAAAATGCATAAAATCGTGAAGAGCTACATAACCAAAAGGGACCTAAAAGATATAGCCACATTACCTAAGGTCAACTTTGTTTGATGGAGTTAGAACCTTAGGTTCTAATAATTTCAAAATTTACCATTAATTTATATTGAATATTTATTTAAAGTGTCCTTCATACCCGCGCTTGGTTGGGTTACAATCTAGTCAAAAAATAATAGTAAAAGATGGGCAAAAGATACCAAAGGGATATTCAAACTCATAAGTCTATGAAAAACTGACAACGCCAAAGCAAAAAAATGAAAATCGAAAGACAAACAACAATATACAAAACACAACATAGAAAACTAAATACTTAGCAATAAGAAGCCCACCAAAAATTCAGGGGTGATCTCAGGTACTCGGAAAGGGTAAGCAGATCCTGCTCTACACGTGGCACCCGTCGTGTTGCTCATGTAGGTGTGAACCCGTTGATAAGTCTAATTCGGTAAGTCACATTCGAGTATAAGTGACACTCGCCACTGTGGATGTTTTCCTTGTTTGTCTTTCACCTACTGTTAACTTCACAATTATAATTCTGTTATTTTTCAGTGGATTATGTTCGGCTATATTGTTTTGATTCTTCTTTTATCAGAAGGTAAGAAAAAAAAGTTTAACGTATCATCTTCTCTTTCCGATTTATTATGTTAATTACTGTGGATTAAATGCAGTAGATAAGTTTGGAAAAAAGTCCCTTCCGTATAAAAGTCAAGTTCTCGACACAAAAATCACATTCACCTTCAACCCTTAAAAACAATTTCCGTTTGGAAGCATGTAAGTTTTGATTTAAAGGGGGGACTATACGGTAAATATAAAAATAAGGAGATGAGGTATGATTGCCAATGAGACAAATATCCACCAAAGTTCAAATAAAGTGGATGTAAGCAATTTTAGGCAAACGTACGGCCTTCAACAACGAGAAAAAACCATACCGTATAGTCGGCTATAAAAGGCCCCGACATGAAAAATATGAAACAATTCAATTGAGAAAACTAACTGCCTAATTTATAACAAAACAATTAACGAAAAACAAATATGATAGACATGAACCAACGACAACCACTGAACTACAGGCTTCTGACTTGGGACAGGCACATAAAGAATGTGGCGGGGTTAAACATGTTTGTGAGCGATCAACCCTCCCCCTAACCTGGGACAGTGGTGTAACAGTAAATGTCTGTACTTTGTTGTTTGGTTGCTGATACATTGACAATACGAAGTTCGCGCCTGACGTATTCATTGAAATTATAGGACTTATACCTTTGATGAGATTTTTACTTACCTCAACAATAACACGGACGCAAGTAAAACAATAAGAAAAGATAGAATTGTAAAAGAGAGGCGAAAGATATCAAAGGGACATTCAAACTTAAAAGTCGAAAATAAACAGACAACGCCATGGCAAACATAGAAAAAGATCATATACAAACACCAGTACACAAAATACAACATAGAAAACTAAAGACTGAGCAACACGAACCCACCAAAAATTGGGGATTCTCTCAGGTGCTCTGGAAGGGTAAGCAGATCCTGCTCCACTTATGGCACCTGTCGTGTTGCTCATGTAAGTACAAACCCGGTGATAAGTCTTATTCGGTCTGTCACATTCGGAGAAAAGAATACATTTGAATAAAGCAAATAAAAAATATACTTATTTTGAAATCAATATCGGCCGCTACGCTTATTTAAAATGCCCACCGCAGTGAAATCGACCAGTTTGTTAAAAAAAACTCATCTGGTACCCCAGACGCGCTTTCCGTCTACACAATACTCACCAGTATACCCATCAAGAGCGCACGTATCAATACAGTTGGAAAGCCAAATTAAATACTGAATTGAAGAGCATTGAAGGAAAGAAGTTGTGCCAAATCTTATAGCTACATCATAAATAGTATTTGCACATATCAAAATTTCTAGTTTTGATGCAGTTTTGTTTCTACAAAAAGATATAGAGAAGTTAGAATAACAAATTGCTTAGATACACCAGAAGCAGTATTTTGAAATGATATTTTTTCTTATTCAAATGTTTATAAATCAATTTTTATTAGAATTAAGACACAAGTGATTACAGCGTTCTGATGAAAACCTGATGGCTAGATATGCTAATATGTGAAATGAGCATTTTGGTACTTTAGTTTTTATTTTTCTAGATTTACTCTACAAACTGCTGTACTTAAACACATAAATACTTTTTCAGCCACTGCAACTTACAAAAGAGTATGTTATTTTACAAATTGGGCCCAGTAACGTAATGGAATCGGAAAGTACAGGGCCAATAATGTAGATCCGTTTCTATGCACGCACGTGATCTATGCCTTCGCCAATGTGGAATCCAATAACATCAAACCATATGAATGGAATGATCTTAATAGTGCATGGAGTAAGTTTATAAATGAAGGGTCAATAGTGCATAAGGTAGGTTCAATCGTGCATAGGGAAGGTTCAATTGTGCATAGGGTACGTTCATATGTGCATTGGGTAGGTTCAATGGTGCATGAGGTAGGGTTCAATTGTGCATAAGGTAGGGTCAATAGTGCATAGGGTAGGGTTCAATAGTGCATAGGGTAAGTTCAATTATGCATAGGGAAGGTTCGATTGTGCATAGGGTAGGTTCATATGTGCATTGGGTAGGTTCAATAGTGCATGGGGTAGGGTCAATAGTGCATAGGATAGGTTCAATAGTGCATAGGGTAAAATTCATTCGTGCATGGGGTAATTTCATTAGTTTAAATGTAAAGTCTTTGGTTACCGATATTTGTTCTATGTACATTTTTGTTTGTATCCCATTAACTGGCTATTGGTGATAACCCATACTTACATGTACTAAATTATTCTCTACAACAAAATAATGGCATAACAGGAACAACGTTTATTGCTGTGGTGTGTCATATACTGCTACTTGAAATGAATAAAGGAAGATAGTTTGTGTATACGTCAAAGGTACAACCCATCAAAACAAGAAACGAAAAGGCCTTTAGAATTCAGTCTTAAATTTCCTGCTTTGTAATTTTGTTATAGGAGAAAATAGCTTCTTGTAGCGTTGTGGCACCATAACATGATTATACATCTCCCCACCAGCATTGATGTTGCAGCAGTAATTCTTTGATAACATGGTTGTTGTATGACACCAGTATTGATGTTGTAGCAGTAATTCTTTGGTAACATGGTTGTTTTATGACACCAGTATTGATGTTGTAACAGTAATTCTTTGATAACATGGTTGTTTTATGGCACCAGTATTGATGTTGTTGTAGTAATTCTTTGACAATATGGTCTATTTTATGACACCAGTATTGATGTTGTGGTAGTAATTCTTTGATAGCATGGTTGTTTTATGACACCAGTATTGATATATCAGAGGTACCAGACGTACTATTTGATTTAAATGTTGTTTTACTATTTCGTGTTAATTGTTTTTGTTCTTATAGGGACTTCAATTTTTTTTTTTTAGTTAAAACAGTATTTATTATGAAAAAATTATAACAATAAAGTAGTGCAATAAATATGGGATTCGGAAACAAGTTTTGAAAACTTTTATAAATCCGTCTCTATTTATTTTTATAACATATTGAATTGCATATTTGTCAAATTACAAAGCGATGTTTTGGTTGGTTAAACGTTTGAATTATCCGTTACTTCTTTTAAAAGATACATTTCTGTATCAACCAAATTTAGATGTTGTGTTTTACTATATATACTAAAAGAACACGTTTATCAAAACCAGTGATTAAGTAAAAGTCAATCGAGCAACTAGTATTTTCTTTTTTATTTGTTACAGTTTGTTTTAAAATTTTCAGAAAACAACTTTGGCTGAAAATAGTATAACTTCATACATATCAATTTCAGAACAAGGTCAGTATGCTATGATGCATGATGTAAGAAGTAAAAATCCTGACTTAAAACTACTGTTAGCTGTTGGGGGATGGAATCATGGTACTAAACCATTTACCAGTATGGTGGCAAACCAAGCAAATTTAGATGCATTTGCTACAAATTCAATAAAATTCCTTAGACAAAATGGTTTTGATGGTCTTGACTTAGATTGGGAATATCCTGCCAACAGAGGGAGCCCTCCAGAGGACAGACAGAGATTTACTTCTTTAGTTAAGGTACAAACTATTAATAAATCTTAAAGAAAATGCATCTTCTGTTCAGTAATATGTTTACAAATATATAATGGTTTATATTAAGAACTACAGAACGGTATGGGGTTTTCTCATTGTTGAAGGCCGTTCGGTAGCCTATAATTGCTCACATTCATTTCATTTGAAATTTGGTGGATAGTTGTCTCATTTGCAATCATACTACATCTCATTATTTTTATAAGTAAAGGATTTATTATTTTTTTTAGCTTCATTGAACATATTTTTTTTATTCAAAATAAATTGATAGTAGACTATTTCAAATAAGTAAATATGAGTAGTTAATGCTAATACTATTTTTGTTATAGTATAATTTATTGTCCATCAATGTTTGATCGATGAAAAATTACTTTTTGCAGACATTACGAACAAAATATGACAGTGAAGATTTAAGAAATGGTAGTTCTCGTCTGTTGTTAACAGCAGCAGTGGCAGCCAGTAAGCCGGAAATAGAGACTGCGTACGAAATCAGCAAAATAGCAGAGTAAAGTTTTAATTTTTTTCCTCCAATTATTTATGGTGAAGATTCATGTAATTTTCTTTTCAATTAGGATTTTTTTTGTTACTCCATATTAGTATTTCAACTTTAAGACAATATTATATTAATCAATAGAATTCCGTAGAATGCAAATACTTAAGAAGTTTCTTTTCTGTCATCTTGGATTTTATAGTTGATCTATGTTTACAACATACAGATCACAAATGTGTATATCCTGGAGGAAAATAAAATTGTCACACCTAACAATTGCTTTATCAAATGTTTTTTTTGCAGATATTTGGACTTTATAAATCTAATGGCGTTTGACATTAATAGTGATTTTTATAATGGAACACAATGTAATACTCCACTATATAAATCACAAACTCCGTACGAGGCTAATAATGTGGTATGTAATTATAATGGTACACAATGTAATACTCCACTATACTAAAATCACAAACTCCATACGAGGCTAATCATGTGGTATGTATTTATAATGGAACACAATGTAATACTCCATTATATAAATCACAAACTCCGTACGAGGCTAATAATGTGGTATGTATTTATAATGGAACACAATGTAATACTCCACTATATAAATCACAAACTCCATACGTGGCTAATAATGTGGTATGTATTTATAATGGAACACAATGTAATACTCCATTATATAAATCACAAACTCCATACGAGGCTAATAATGTGGTATGTATTTATAATGGAACACAATGTAATACTCCACTATATAAATCACAAACTCCATACGTGGCTAATAATGTGGTATGTATTTAAAATGGAACACAATGTAATACTCCACTATATAAATCACAAACTCCATACGATGCTAATAATGTGGTATGTAATTGTAATGGAACACAATGTAATACTCCACTATATAAATCACAAACTCCATACGAGGCTAATAATGTGGTATGTATTTATAATGGAACACAATGATATACTCCACTATAAAAAATCACAAACTCCATACGAGGCTTTTAATGTGGTATGTATTTATAATGGAACACAATGTTATACTCCACTATATAAATCACAATCTCCATACGAGGCTAATAATGTGGTATGTATTTATAATGGAACACAATGTAATACTCCACTATATAAATCACAAACGCCATACGAGGCTTATAATGTGGTATGTATTTATAATGGAACACAATGTAATACTCCACTATATAAATCACAAACTCCAGACGATGCTTATAATGTGGTATGTTATCATAAGCAATACAAAGTTAAATAACAAAAATAACGAACTCCAAGGAAAATTCAAAACGAAAAGTCCCTAGAAATGGCAAAATCAAAAGCTCAAACACATCAAACGAATGGAACTTGGTACAGGCATTTCCTTGCGTAGAAAACTGTTTTCTACATCAACATCAAATTTCAACCAATCAATGTTTTTTTTAGCAGTTAGAGGAATACAACTCTGACTCTTAACGATGATAATAGTTATGTCATGTTTATTAGGTGAACCGGTAGTATATTTGCCACCACATTCGATATTTGTGAATTTAATACTTACATTTTTGAATAAAATCAGGACAAGAAAACTACCTATGTTTAGTTTAGAAGTTTGACTGTGCCCGTAGAAACTTTATTACAAAGCAGATATATCCTCCTAATTTGTATGATAATGTTGTGTAGAGAGCCCGTAAATGAAAATACGATGCAAGTTAACTTATTGAACCTTTGAATAAACTTATTATTAAAGGTTATCAGTTTAACACTGTAGTAAGATAATTGAATATAGTCTTTTTGGCACTAACATTAATATCATTATCAATAGTTTAACATTACGAACTGTATATAGCTATACAGTTTTAAATGCTTATGGTCCTTCATCTTGTCGATACTTATATTTTGACATCACACAAGTTCATGCTTTTCTCAAATAATACTTGATATTCTGGTCTTGAAATCATGATGTATTTATTAATTGTAATCGGCTTTGAACTAGCTTTCAACAGCTGCAAATATTCTTACATCGGTTCTTGGAGTCTTTTGTATTTGTTTCTTTTTGTAGTTTGACTTTTGTTCTACGTGCCGATCCTTTTAAACTGATTTTACAGCCTGTTTATCTGTTGTCTTGTTACACCAATATCCCAGGCTAGGGAGAGTTTAGTGTAAACATGTTTAGCCCTGCACATTCTATGTGTGCCTATCTGAAATCAGAACCCTGGAGTGGTAGTCATGGGTTGCTGTCTGTCATATTTTTTTTTATTATACTTCACGTAAAAATGCAATATTTTGATTGGCGTATACGAGGGTGTTAATTTACTCTATTCTATGGTAAATACTCTATTACCCTTCACGGAGACGCTTGATCAAGTGTGCGCTTTATTAAATACGGATGGTTGTTATGTACAAGACGTCATAGTTTATTACTTTAAATTTGAAATTTAATCGACAGTAATAGCAGAACATTCAGTATAATAAATTAAATAACACATATCTGATAGGGTGATAGAGCAGATTGTTACCCCTCGAAAAGACATTGTCAACCTTGGCTTCGCCTCTATCACCCTCTCAGCTATGTGTTATTTATATAATCGTTTATGTTTATTTATAAATCAGATCATTGGTTTTCTCATTTGAATTGTTTTACATTTTGTCAAGTTGGGTCTGTTTATTACTTATCATACGGCATGTGTTTTCCCACTGTTTATTACTTATTATACGGCATGTGTTTTCCCACTGTTTATTACTTTTTATACGGCATGTGTTTTCCCACTGTTTATTACTTATTATACGGCATGTGTTTTCCCACTGTTTATTACTTATTATACGGCATGTGTTTTCCCATTGTTTATTACTTACTATACGGCATGTGTTTTCCCATTGTTTGAAGTCTTTTCGTTGCTTCATTTGTTTTAAACTCTACACTGGATAGTACAACGTATTGAGGCTGACATTGTTTGTTTTTAGAATTTTGCTGTTAAAAAGTGGTTGGATGGCGGTACTCCAAAAGAAAAACTTATAATGGGTATGGCAACATATGGAAGGTCTTTTGTATTGAATAATACATCTGAGACAGGATTGGGTGCTCCTACTGCTGGCCAGGGTACTGCAGGTTTAACCACAAAAGAAAAGGGATTCTTATCATATTATGAGGTGAGTTTGATATGATAAATTGATATAGGAATTCCAGACAAGTGCCATGGATGTGTGGCGGATGTGGTTATTGCACACATTTTGATTTTTAATTTCATACATTTTGGTGCTTAATTTTATCTGTTTTCGCTCGTAATTCTTTAGATCTTTTTGATATAAAATTCCCATGCTTCTTTGTTGACATTTTCCTTTCACTATAGCAGTTAAATATACGAAGTTATTCATTGGTTATTTGTTAGGGGTAGATTTTCAATTATTATGAATTACACCAAGTATTACTTCCCTTTATTATGCCGGATTTACAAGGTGATTCATAATTTTGTGTGTTGTGTAGAAATTTCTAAATAAAGCATGTCATTTAGTTAAATATGTTGTTTATGTAAGAAATTTAAGTAGTATTTATATCTTTATAATAGATTTTGATGATATTTTGTAGATTGAAATACGGTTTTGCACCGCATATGGAAAATATTATGTTTTCCTTCTTATAGTAAATGTGTCTCTTAGTTAATTTGTTGAATACTTTACTGTCTAAAGGTAATAAGACCACCTGGATTTATCAATAATCCGCTATTCGTTTATTACTACTTGGACTTATCATTAATCCGACCATTAAATGAAGTCTCTATATAAATAAGTCTCTAAAATGTAGACTTTTCACTCTATTGAACAAGTTTCAAGCAATTTTAGGTTTATTAATTTCACTTTAAAACTTTAGGAAACCGTTTGAAATGTAGCTTAATATTTAACTTTTGCCACAGTGTTTTCTCGCGGTTGATTATCCGATAGGGTCGTGAATGCTGTAGTCCTTGCCAGTACTACCTATGTTTACTACTAAACATACATTTTGAGATTACTGTTGAATATTTATTCAGATCTATTTTTATACTGTAAACTGTTACACTTGTTTTTACACTTGTTATATTTCACATTGTGATAATAAAATATGTAAAACTGATTGAAATTAGAGTCTCATTGCCAATATCATACGTCTCAGTACAACAAGGAAGAACCAGTCTGATTGCAACATAACACAAAAGTACATCACTTGTCGCATCCGTCGTTCGTCTGTCAGTCTGCCGCTGAGTGTGTAGCAATATCAGACATTTTAGTAGTCAGCAGGGTTTGGTGACGTAAAGCCGCCCGACCCTCCTGTTACAGATGCACTAGTATTATTTTCATTTATTGACGTATAAAACACATTTAAAATGTTTTCATCTTTATTTGGAAAGTTCATGCGCATGATACTTATTCATAAAGCTAACACTTTAAATTTTATCGTTGTCATGTGGTTCCATTTCAATTTATCCTTAACCTTTTATGGTAGTTTACATATGAATTGTGTTCTAACAGTTTTTTTCCCATATGCCGTTGATGTCAGTGTTATCAAGTGCTCACGTTAATCTTTATATTTGCGTGTCGTATATGTAAGGGTTAACTTGGACTTGTAGGCTAATTATCCATAAATGTCTTATACGTCATTGTGTTATCAGTTGTTAAAAGGGAACTTTGTGTGATTAGTGTTATATTGTTTATGTAAGCTCGGTTTTGTATTGCATTTAAATTCTTTTCGAAACACAAAACGTTGTTGAAAATTTAGTATTACTATAAGATGTTTGGTTGTCGAATAAATTTATTCACTATTTGTCGCAACATGGCCGATATAAACACTTACTGCCAAATGATACGCGACTACTAAGAAAAAGCAATCAATGAATTATACTGTTAGAAAAGATCCACAAAGTAATGACTTAGATTATGCTTTCCAAATTATGTATAGTCTTTTATTTCTTTCCTCGTGTAATTGGTCATCATAAGTGTTTGTAGCTGGACTATTCAGGCATTTTTTACGATGATGTATATCGGTCAAGTAGGTGTGTACTTGTAAAACCCGTGTAAGCTACCCCATTACATCTTTGGCCGGTATCAAGTTACGGTATCAGGACCAAGTGTTGCTCGTGGTTATATATTTTGCTTGTGTATCTATGTGTAGTCGAGAGAATGGGTTTGTATGGTCTGTTGTACGACTAATTCCTATATGTCTTGCTTATGATATACAAGATCAGTTCCTTAGGGTGATAATCAAAGAAATACAAACTTGAATTTCGAAAGTAGTTTTTGAGTATTTCATAATCACTTAAGATCTTCTTTATTGAAGAGCTAAGCAATATTCAAAGGCAATTAATAAGATTTATTCATAATGAAGGCCGTACTTTGACCTATAATTGTTTACTTTTTACACATTGTGACTTGGATGGAGAGTTGTCTCATTGGCACTCATTCAACATCTTCTTATTTCTATTTGGCTAGATCTGCTATGACATAATGTATCAGAATTGGACAGAAGTTTGGCTCGATGAACAGAAAGTACCGTATGCCTACCATGATAACCAGTGGATCTCCTTTGAAACTCCGAAAAGTATTGCCATTAAAGTAAGTATTTATGCCAGAAAAAGATGACTACTATATACCAAACATCTTAATGAGTGTTTTAATTACTTTACTTTCTATTAAACACTGAAATCGGTATAGATGAGGGCTTTGAAATTCCTTCCTTTTTTTTTAATCACTTTGCTTCCATCCCATCGCCCATCGTCCTTTAACTTTTACAAAAATCTTAGAACTTATCTGAAAATTTGAACCAAACTTGGTCATAGTCACCATATGGGTGTCTTGTCTTATAAAATGTGTCCAATGATCCCGTTTCATACCAGCATATTCGCGAAGTCTTGAAATAGATTAAAATGGTTAATGCGAGTATGGTCAATTATCTTGTAAACCGTTATTGGTAGAAAAAAATCTGGCAAGAACAGAAAGTCGAAGAAAGAAATACCGTCTAACTTGACCAGAATTGTCAGATGACTTCCTTTTGAAGTGATTGTACATGAATGATTTTTTTTTGTTATTTTTCTATCTATAATAAACCTCCGGTTTTTTTGGGGGGTTCGTGTTGCTCAGTCTTTTGTTCTCTATATTGTGTTTTGTTGCTCAGTCTTTTGTCCTCTATATTGTGTTTTGTTGCTCAGTCTTTTGTACTCTATATTGTGTTTTGTTGCTCAGTCTTTTGTCCTCTTTATTGTGTTTTGTTGCTCAGTCTTTTGTACTCTATATTGTGTTTTGTTGCTCAGTCTTTTGTCCTCTATATTGTGTTTTGTTGCTCAGTCTTTTGTACTCTATATTGTGTTTTGTTGCTCAGTCTTTTGTACTCTATATTGTGTTTTGTTGCTCAGTCTTTTGTACTCTATATTGTGTTTTAAAGACTGTTGTATGTCTTATGGTCGGTTTACGTTTGTTTTCCAAAGCGTTGTCAGTTTTTCTTTGACCTATCCGTTTTGATATCCCTTTGGTATCTGCCGACTCTCCTCTATAATAGATAGAGAGTAACTGTTACTACAGTTGGGATCAGTTTTAACCTCTCTTCAAATCTGTCATGAACTGTCATGAGAACTGTTCTAGTACAGTCTTAAGAACAGTTCTCTTGACACCTAAAAAACAGTTTCGGACAGAAGCGTTTGATACCATGAAACAGTTTTATTAAAATAAGAAGATGTGGTATGATCGCCAATGAGATAACACTCCACCAGAGACCAAATGACGTAGAAAATAGCAACTATAGGTCATCGTACGACCTTCAACAATGAGTTAAACCCATACCGCATAGCATAGCAAGCTATAAAAAAGTCAAATGTAAAACAATTCAAACAAGAAAGCTAACTGCCTGACAAAACTATAAACGAAAAACAAATATGATATTTAGCAACAAACGACAACCACAGAATTACAGTCTCAAAAGCACGAAATACACTTTACACATAAGAAATAATGTACAGATCTGAGAGTATTCTCAGTTACTTGAATCTAGTTTAAAGCCAATAAGAACTAATAAAAAAATCTTGTAACTAAGACTAAAATATCAATCAGTACACATCCAACATCCTATGGCTTTAGTGTAAAGAGTTCATTAATAATCAGAGAAAATTGTTTTTAAGACTGTTTTACCTAGAACAGATACCGACAATTCGAACTTGGAACAAATTCTGACAGTTATATCATAGAAGAGTTTTACCAGTATAGTCGTTTAACAAGGATTATCTAAAATTTAAACATTATTTGTTTTTTTTCCTAACAGACAAAATATATTATGGACCTAGGTTTAGGAGGAGGTATGATGTGGGCATTAGATCTAGATGATTTCCATGGCGTTTGTGGGCAAGGCAAGAACCCTTTAATTAAAACAATGAAAGATGTTTTCAGTGGAAAACCAGGACTCGATTTTGTACCTACTGTACTACCAGTTATTGGATAATATCATTAGGTAATTAACTGTTTATTGTTTTACAAATATAATTTAAAAATCATAAATGTAATAGGTATGCTTGGCTGTAAACTTCAGTTTTATAGCAATTAAACATCGAAAGTCCACCAATATAGATTATTCTGGCGCAATAGAAAGCCTTTTTGTGACTCGTTCTATCATTTATTGTACATATTTATTCAGTCCAAGCTTGTTAGGAACTATTTGATAATAGAAAATGTTTAACAATGTGTTATACAAAAAATCACACTTTCTCTTAACTAAAAATCTTTCCTATATCCTTTAAGTCAAATGTTAAACATAGCATCGTTTTATGATTTGAACACTACTATGTTGAACATAACTATAAATCATTAAGTGTTATAAAAGAAATATATACCTGCAATAGTAATTCTATTTGATTTTTTTTTTATTGTAGACATGATGTCAATAATACTAGGGAGACACAGATAGTAAATGTGACACTACATTGTAAATAATAAAAATTAACTATTAATCATTTTTTTAAAGATGGACATTTTTGTGATCAATTACTTGCTATATAAGTTTTTAGTGACTGCAATAAAAAGCCAGAACGCACGTGCTGTCGTGCTAAGCAAATCCCAAATCCTATCTCAAATTATCGGAAATTATGAAAAAGGTGTCTGACAGATCCGTAAAGCGTATATACATTACAATTTATCGCTGTTTAGCTCTTTGACAAATATGGAGTCATCCTGTTTAGTAGTATTTGGGAAATATGTGACCAAAAGTTTAAGATCATTCATCATATTAGAAAATTCAAGGTAATGGCAAACAGGAAGTTGGTATTTGACTGATCCAAAAAATACACCACTGTCAGTCTGCTGACCAAATATAAAGTCATTCTAATCACTAGTTTCTGAGTAAAGTGTGACGAAAATAGTTGTTGGACGAACAGACGGACAAACATACGGACCAGATGATTGCAACAATGAACGAGGAATGTGGTATGATAAGGGCAAAGGCTAACCTTCTGTAGCAGCTTTTTTGATCAAATGAATAAATTTAAAATTTTGATAAAGGGTTACTACACAACGATATCAATCTGTTAAATGGATTTCAATGAGAAATGTTAGGGAGAGGCGATGACCATTATCTTTGTCAACAAAAGGTGAAGTGTTGAAATTTTTATATAACAGTCAATATGACCATCGCGTTTGTTAAAAAGGCCATATTAAGTAGCAGATTTGTAAATGTCTTTTGTCTAACCCTTATTTATAATCCTTGTTACTGGTAAAACTATTATTTCTTTATCATAACCGTACATTTTTTCAGTGCAAATGATAAAAAGTAAAATAACAAAAATGCCGAACTCCTAGGAAAATTCAAAACGAAAGTCCCTTAGCAAATGGCAAACTCAAAAGATCAAACACATACAGACATTTCCTTATGTAGATAATGGTGGATTAAACCTGGTTTTATAGCTAGCGATACCTCTCTCTTGTATGACAGTCGCACAAAATTCCATAATATTGACAACAATGTGTGAGCAAAACAAATAGACATTATATGTAAAAATGTCAAATATTGGGGTACAACAGTCGACATTGTGCTATAATCTTACTCACTATTAAAACAAACAACTATGTTAACAAAGAAAAAATAAAATGAAATGAAGACACTCTATAGACAAAGCACATAAACAAAAATGAAATACAAGAATACAATAAATGGTTATAGCAAATTAACACCATGATGAAAGACAATTACTTACTTAAAACGCAGATATTTGAAATAAAAGAAACAATATAAAAAAAAAGCTAATGGTATATCGAACCCCTTGCAATTATGATGATGACCACAGGTGCTCCATAAGGTCGGGAAAATATTGCGGTTTTTGCTTCTTCTTTAGATATAGTTTCAACTTCATGTTATTGAAGACTACGATCTGTTGCATCAGTTAGAAATTGTCTGGAATATTTGGTTATGTGTTTTTCTTATTCTCGTATTTGTTGGCTTGAGGACTAGCGACAAACGACTTTAAGGAATTTAATCAGCCTGGTGTTTATCTTTGATGTAACACTACTGTTATGTGTCCTTTTCCTGATTGTGACATTTTGATATGTTCCAATTGTCGTAAATACAATCCCGTCCCCTTTTCCCTGAATGTGACCTACCGGATTAGAATTATCACCTGGTTTGTACTAACATGAGCAACACGACAGGTGCCACATGTGGAGCAGGATCTGCGTACCCTTCTGAAGCACATGAAATCACCCCTAGTTTTTGATGGGGTTCGTGTTGCTCAGTCTTTGGTTTTCTATGTTATGTTTTATGTACTGTTGTTTGTCTTTTTCTTTTTTAGCCATGGCGTTGTCAGCTGATTTTCGACTTATGAGTTTGAATGTCCCTTTTGTATCCTTCGCCCCTTTTTGACTGAGGGTGAATTCACATGACGAGTGATGCATACATAGCAGAAAACGCTTACCCTGTCGACTCACCCGTCTCGCTCTTTTAGGAGTTCATCGGTGTTTGTTTGTTCCTTTGATTTTTCTCTTTCTAACAGAGTTACGAAATTTGAACATCAGTAAACTACTGTCACTTTAGTTAATGATATATGTTACATAAATAACGGGCAGCTCGCCTCTGCTCCATTTCTAGTTATATTCTCTTGTATGAGGATCCCATAAACCGCAGATGTGGTCTCACTGTGTACTGATATGCACGTGATTTAATGTTGCTGTTTGATGCTTTTGGGTTTCTCTGCAGGAAGTAAATATATTTGTTCCACTTGATGTGATATTATCGTAGTGATTATTCCATTTAAAATTTGACTCTAAGGTAACACCAAGATATTTTGCTGATTTAATAGGTTCCAAAGTATAGTTATGCAGGATGGTATGATGCCTGAACGAATTGTTTGTCTGTGCAATAGTTAGAACAGCTGATTTGCCAGGATGGAAGGATAATCAGCCTCACATTCAGCAGTGGCATCAATATATGTTTGCAGTTTTGTGCAATGTTGTTTTATACCCCCAGGCACGAAAAACCGTAGCCGTATTTTGCAGATCTTCTGGACATTTTGGTTTTATATGTTTTCAACTACGCATTGGATTTGATCTTCTATTTGATTTGATTCTATCGTCACTGGTTAATCTTGTTTTGACGAAATTGGAGAGGCATACCAAATCTTGGTGTCTTTTATGATTTTTTTTTAAATTACAGGAGAAATTAAGCATTCACGACTCCCGCATTATGTAAATGTTAAAAAACTTACCTAAATATTTTGTTAACGGTAATATCAAAGCTAGACTATGTTAACTAGAGGAATAAAGTAAAATCATAAGTGATTAATAACAGAATCAGTTAATTGTGTAATTAGAAACATTTCTATTTAAACACTGAATATCATTGTATAACGACATCAGACTGCAAACTGTTCTTAACAGCAATTACTTGCACGCGCAAAGTTGTTTTACTGTAATGCATATTAATTATGATTTATTGATGAAAATGTCTGAATTTCAATGTGTTTGACTGTCAGACTTGCAAGTATTGTTGTAGTCAAACAAATACAACATAATTGGTTGAAAAAACTTAACAAAATATTACAAAAATGAAAATTTAAAAGTAAGAACGCGTTGACATTGCTTTCTTTGATTGTCGAAAAATAATATCACTAAACGAAATATCGATGACAATAGAAGAATCAGACAAATCAAAAGCAACGCCGATGGTGAGTGGCAAAAAAAATCTTAGATTACAGACAGGGAACATGGTGAAACGAAAGCAGTGGGTGACACATATTCTTAGTATTTCATTGGCTTCTGAAGTGGTAAAGGAAACGACTTATTTTTTTTTTATTGTTAATGAAAGAGCCTATATGTCCACTGCACCTGGTTATACATAAAATCTCCTATGGTACATATTTTAAAAAAAAAAAAAGATCTAAGAAAAATAGATAGAGAATAGAATTTAGCCGTATGATATTAAAATACATCGCCTGAATATCTCGGGTCATAGATGCGACATCTGAAAAGTCTGTTTGTGATTTCGGAAGCAGGAGCAGTTCTCGTTGTCGTCATCTTTTCGTGAACACATATATTGAACTACATTACATAGAAAAGATAAGAACAGGGCCACCGACAAAACAATTATAATAATATATGTGTTGTCTAAATCCTTCTCTGCATCTGAAATGTATAAATGACTCAAATTATTTTTCTATTAATATAAGTATAAGGAGATGTGGTATGATTGCCGATGAGACAACTATACGAATTTTGCTTTTGTGAATTAATCAATCATTTTCGGAAACAGTAAACTGTTGTGAAGATCATAAAATATTAGTTTTAATCACTTATTCTTTTATCAAACACATCAAACGTTGAAAACAACTGTCATATTCCTGACTTGGTACAGGCATTTCCTTTTGAAGAAAATGGTGGATCAAACCTGGTTTTATAGCTAGCTAAACCTCTCACTTGTTTGACAGTCGCATAGAATTCCATTATATTGACAACAATGTGTGAGCAAAACAAACAAACATAATAGGTAAAAATGTCAAAAATGAGGTTCAATAGTCAACATTGTGATATAATCTTAATCACTATAAAAACAAATAACTATGTCAACAAAGAAAAACAAAATGTCATGTAAACACTCTATAGAAAAAGCACATAAGCAAAAATAAAAGACAAAATACAAAAAATGACCATATACAAAGATAAATTAAAAGAACACAATAACATGTTATATACTGAAGGATTTTCGAATAACACGTTTAATAGTTTGTGAGTCATCATCACAAACTTGGTTGGGCTGTATACTGTCCAAGGTTCTCAACAAATCACACATGTCTAATGTCATCTGGCTGTCATATTTCTTCTTCAGTTTGACACTTGTTGCTATATGATACGCAACAGGAGTTGATTTTCCTGCATAACGTCTTTATAACACTATCGAGTTCATTCTATCTACTCTTGTGTTATCGTTCACACATAATACATGTGATCCAATTATATTCAAAT